CCATTGATGTTAAGTTATTACATAAAATTCATTGGATTATTTCATGTTTTCTTTTTACTCTTTATCATAGCAATAGCACAAATGGTTATTCTCACAGATTCCCTCATAAATGGGATGAGGTGAGTTCTTCAAACAAAATTGGTCACATTTGTAATCATCCTGTCCACGCGAACAAGGCTCTTCATTTTTAAATTAATGAATTAATAGTTGATATTTTATTTGATAATTTAACAATTGAAATATAAGTAAAATTTACCATTAGTTTGATATTCTGCTTTCGTTGGAATGGGACCGAAAGCAATGTCAAGAAGTAAGAAAACGACAAATGAGAAGAGTTTGAAATTTATCTTAGCGTCTTTGTCGATAATTTCACTTGAAATTACAAATTAGAACTGACGTTCTTCACTTTAGATTACTATTTTTGTAGTCAGGAGATGAGATGATATGCCATATGAGTAGTTTGGAGCGAAAATGTTATACAGAAAAGTTAAGAGGAAAAATGTTAAATGAAAAGAGATAGCTATAAAGTTCACTATAGTTTACTATACAGTTTACTATATAGCTATCCCTTTTCCGTTCATTCACAATCGACATTTTTCCGCTCAACTTTTCTGTATTACATTTTCGCTCCAAACCATTCATATATGGTTTGAGAGGGTAGGCAAAATAGCCAACGATTAAAATGTGTTTGGACATTTGCCTAAACAAATGATTTTGTATGCACATCTTTATTACACCTCGCTCCCCTTCTATCGACCAGAAAAAACAACAACAAATGATGAAAGTAAGACAGAATGGAGAAGAAAAAAACTATGCCATGAGTTTTCGTTCCTATAACGTTCTCGCTCCAAACCACTCATATGTAAATCCTATCGCCAGATGAGTAACATTGGGAAATGCGATTCAAGTCGTTCATAGTTTATTTGCATCTAAAGTGATAATAATTATTAATCTTATTATAATAAGATTGCAAGTAAAAAAAAAAAATCATGCAATAAATGAACCATCGCTTGAAAATATTTTTCTTCCATTTCGAACACTATTTTTATGGTCAAGAGATGAGATGATGTGCTGTATCAGTGAATGTTCACAAATCTTATCGTCAAATGACTAACATTGGGAAATGTGATTAGAATCTCGTTCATAGTTCATTCGCAACTAAAGTGATAATAAGACTGCAGATGAAAAAAAAATAGATTGCAAATAGAATTGTGCAATAAATAAACCATTCATAACGCTTGAAAATATATACGTCATATTAATCAGATAAATTGCTAATGAAACAAAAAATATTTGATTGAAATAATTGATTCGACTGATTTTATTGTCTGATTGTTTGCTTCCATTGATGTTCAGTTCTTCCGAGAAGTTCATTAGATTATTTCTTGTTTTTTTTTTATACAAATTGTAAGGATATTAGTCTCATGAAGCAGCCTGTTTCTAATCATTAAAGCAATAGCAATAATGGTCTTCGTCACAGGTTCCCTGATAATCTTTTGAGATCTTCGAACAAACTGTGTCGCATCTGTCGTTCCACCCCGTACAAGGTACTTGATTTTCAAAGTAATGAAATAATGGTTAATATTTTATTTGATAATTATTAAACAGTTGAAAATAAGTCAAGTTTACCTTTAGTTTGGTGATCTGCTTCCGTTGGAACTGGATCAAAAGCAATGCCTAGAAGTAAAATAAGGACAAATGCGAATAGTTTGAAATTCATCTTAGCGTCTTTGTCGATAATTTCACTTGAAATTACAAATTAGAACTGACTTTCTTCCATTTCGAACGCTATTTTTATAGTCAAGAGGTGAAAAAAACATCCTTATCAGAAAGTCGACTTAATTCTTATCACCAAATGATTATTCGACGTATTATAAATTCCTTGAAGTGGACATTCGATGTACTGTCACGCTTGGGGTATATAAATTGGTAGAAAAAATTCAATAATATAAAATGACTTTTCCTCATTCGATATTCATTATATCTGTTCTTGAAAAGAAATTTACGTCGAAAAAGAAATTTTTTCTTGATACTATTAAATTAATTTGATCACAGAGTTCAACACATTAGTGATTCGAGTTCGATCATTTGAAAGTGTATTTACAAGTATAACATATCGCGTTAATGAACACATGAAATGAATCATTTAAATCACATGAAGATAACCTAGTGGTTGCATCGTTTGCAAAATTCACTCAATGGCCATTCTACCACTTGTCCAGCTCAAATATACAAATAGTTATTGGATCATTCTCGAGCTCAAATGACCCAGTTTATCTGAAAACTTCCGATGTATAAATTATTGAGTTATTACAAACACATTTATCATGTTAAAAAGTTTGAACATTGGCTAACTTTATTGCATTAGTACGGCTATAATTGAATGTGCTTCGTGCAAAGAATATTATTTATAATTTTCTCTCGTTACATCTCCTTCAATATCGGATCAAACTTCGATGAGAGCGTATCAGCCGCAATAAATGTCCGGGCAAATTATCGATTTTAATATAACAAAGCTGCCACCAAAGAGAGCCGATTTTGATGGGATAATGCCAGTGAAAGTATTCAATAAAAGAATAGAAAAAAAAAATATGTGGAACAGCCTCATGGCAATAACAATCGATTCAATTTTTCTGCAAAATCATCAATAATTGAAATATGAAGTAACATTTCTCTTCTACGAATTAATCCCATAATATATGGCGCTAGGGAGAATACAACTGGGATATTTTGTTTCTAGCTTCCGATAAGTACAACATGAATTATTGACGAGATATTTCTAATTCAGCGCCAACTTCAACAGTTGAGCAAAAATGTCTAAAATGTGGCAGAATCATAGGCACAATGATTTGATTCCCTTTGGACGATGTAACGTCATATATTCGATTGCCATTTGCCGTTTTAGCTATCAAAATCGATGAAATACTGTAACTGGCTTCCATAAGCTTCTGGTGTATGGTATTTTGTGTTACGCATTATTCCATCGAAAACGAAACGAAACAATATTTTCGATTACTTGAATGCTGTAAACGGTTTTTTTTTCTCTGAATGAGACTTAAATATATCATACATACGCCCAACGCACACACACACAAAAAAGGGAGCGATGGCAAGATGAAGGCAGAAAAATGGGCCAAACAACAAATGCCTCCATTCCCGTTTGGTTGGTTTTAACGCTTAAGATTTGCTCATGTCTGGAGATTATCCATCAGTGAAATTCATTTGAAGCACAACAGAAGCTGAATGCGAACCGAGTACGTCCCCTCAAATCGAACGTTGAAGTAATACAGAAAAACGAGAAATGTACGACACTTAACCACGTGCGAATAGAGCCATTTTATGAGTGTGTTCACGTTCGGTTTTTTTTTGCATATTGGCACAATACCAACAAAAATAAATCGAATATGTAAACGGCTGAATATTTTTTTATCGAACGTCATTCTTTTATAGTGGGAAACGAAAATGAAAGCGAAACTCGGTTTGGGGAAAAAATTGAAACCTTGTAAGCGAAAATTGAGACAAGTACGGAAGGTTATTTTTTTCTCTGTTGGCGCAGTAGCAAACGTTAAATAAACATAACCGAAGTGGGTTTATTGAGGTTCCTTACAGACACTTTTGTGTTACGGTACAGTCTTTTGATCATATACAAGAACGGCAACAACAACAAACACCGGATAATACATAAAAGCTTCTCTTTCCAGGTGTGTGTACGAGTTTTTTTTTTCGGCAACAAAGTAAATATACACACAGGCACAAAAATCCAAATATGAAGCAAACATATTATCGTGGCCTTTTTTGCCTTTGATGCCAGTAATCGAGAGATTGAACGGTAGATAAGCCAGCTCCAACACTACTACATTGATGTTGGTGAGGTGAAAACCTGAATGAAAACCATTTTTCTCGGTTCACATCGAGTGAAGCAAGGATCAAAATGTGATTCAAACCACATACACAAACACACACACACACACTTTTCGCAATGGTCAAATAAAGCACCGTAGAAGTGTACCCATGGTGACATTTTTTTCCTCTGCTCCAGAAAAAAAAGAAGTCGGTGCGACAGGAGCAAAGGTGTGTAGCACACACGATAAGATATCGATAAATTGCTTTTGATGTTTTTCGAGCATTGCAAATGCCTTAAGTTATCACATTCGATGAAATATAATGAAAGAGAAGAAGGAAAAAAACACGAATCTTTTATGACCTTTAACGATTTTTACAGCTGCTGCTGCGAACACAAAAATAATCCACATCATAATACGCGTCTCGGTGTGTGCATCACATTTTTAATTTGGCTAAAATCATATTTTTTTTCTATGATGTGAATTGCTGCGACATTGTCATTGTTGCTGTTCCCATTGCTGTTTTGGGAAATGAAATGTCACAGTGACATTTTTTTGGAGTTTCTCGAGACGGAAAAAAGCATGTCATTCTTTGAAATAGGTCTATAGGAAAGAAAGTTTGAAGCAAAGTCTATATGAAATTGTATAGCGTCAATGAGGATTTCCCTATATCTCTCAACATCAGCAACAACAACAACAAAAAACTCGTTGGAAATCAACGACCTGAAAAGCACTTGGTACAAAATTTCCTATTCAAACATTTCGAATTAGAACGAAGAGCACATACAAACACTGGCGATGATTCATTCCGGCAATGTCAAGGATAAAATTGGAAGCGAAACTCGCTTATAGTACGAGTCATGCATGGTGCGTACAAAATGTGGAAACAAACAACTGTATGAATGTGCGATGCAGAAAAACCCTTCAAATGTTACCAACCGAGTCACATGCTCTACCGCCTCTGTCGCCTGCTACGCTGCCGCATGCTAGCGAAGCGAGACAAGCGTTTGTTTACCCTGCGTGTCGAGGGTGGAATGAACTTGAAACCGTACACACATTGCATTTGCACATTTTCCGCATTGGGAATCGCGCGCGTAGTACACCCTCGTATGCGACGCCATGTAGCCCATCAGCTATTCAAAAGCTTGTCATCGCTTCAGTTCGAAAAGGAATCGCATTGCATGCGGATGTACCGTGATTTTCATGCAAACAATTTCACTCATTTGTGACGTCGAAAAAGGATTTTTCACTTTTCTAACCGTTTTTTTTTTTAAATCACAAAATGACTTGACCAATGGTTCAGACATCTCGTATAGGTATAGTGTTGAAAGAGAAAATGTTGAACATTTCAACAAAAAGTGTGTATTTCGAAACTTGTGTGATTGGCCAAAATTGAATATATGAGCATTGAGCATAGCTCGAAGGGAAACGCTTCGGAAAAGTTGACAATATATTCAATTGTGTGCAGTTGCGAGAGGAAGCGGAAAAATTTATCCACAGAATTGTTTAGTGAATGTTTAACTCCTTTCATTGCATTGATCGTCACCGTGTGCAATACGTCGACCGATTGTCGTGATTCAGAACATGCATGAGACATTGTGTGTGTATTTATATTTTGCTTCCGCAAAAATGCTTAATAAATAAAACGGGTTGAAAACAATAAAAACATGTGTGCGTGCTATGAATTATATGTGTCGTCGTGAAAAGCGCATATGCTTCAAGGGAAAAAAAGTATATCGGTGTACGGTCAAAAACCATTTTCGTTTTGTTTGTTGTTCAAAATTGCATCGTATGTGCATGTGTATGTGTTTGTATACGTGCGAGGCTTTATTGCAACGTTAAATTCTCACAGATTATTTTTGTTTCCGTGGATACTTTAAATAGCCCAGCAAAAAACACAAACACACTCACATACACCACTCTCATTCGATGTGAAACGGACTATAAGTAAAAGTAAAGGATTGCACTGTGAAATTATAACAATAACAACAACAACAAAAACCTGTACATATTGAATGAATAGCGTTGGCTGTTGATGTTAGCTTCGCGATAAAGCCATGTGTGACAAAATGAATTTCGGATTATTATCAGTGAGCGACATGCATGAGAATTTCTGCCATTTCAACCATTTCAACGACTGTTGAATAACACACACACGAAAAAAACATCAGCAACAATAATAAATGACGACGACTGAGACAATTTATGGCTGAAAATCCGTTTGCATCACGAATGGTGCTCGCAAATTAATGCAAAATAAATAATAACAATAAAAAAAAACGCGCGCACAACGGATAAATTAAAGTGATTCACGAGCGATGAATGAGCGCTGCACAAGAAAAATCGGTTCGTTGAAAAATTACGAGCGTATTGTTTTCGGTCAATGCATGAAAGGTGTGAAATTGTGTGTGAATACAGTGATAATTAAAATGCGCTAAATAAACACATTCATTATTATTATCGCTTTCGATATGGTCATTGGAATTGTCGTGATTTTTTTTTTGTCACGTCGCTTACTAATTACCGGCCATTCAAACATGATTACGACGGATTGTGAATGAAAAATAAAAATGTTGTTGTCGAACTCATATAGCTCAACGAATCATATCGTCCAACTTGAATCTAAATTACTTTGTGAAACTATGTTTCAACTACATGTTTTTGTTTTTACATTCATTAAATGGATCGTCGAAAATGTCAAAACTTTCCAGATGAGAGTTGATAATAATTGTTGACTTACGAATGGCAGAACACCGTGTCGTATTAATGCGAGTAATCCAGTGTAATTTGGATCTCAATTTTGAACACGAGCTGCTTTAATTCTGTTCAACATGTGCTTCATTCACTCACTCGACTCAATGCCCGGCGAGATAGTGCCTTTCTCTCTCTCTCCCTCTCTGTGTGTAAGTGTGTTGGTTATTCAACTCATCTGCATTTCAGTTTCACTTCACTTGGATATACATTCCTATTAAGCTTTCAATTGCATAAATACATGTGTAAAATATAGCCAACTGCTTCCGCCCCATTTTCGTATATCCGGTGAATGCGAACGATGATGAACTCTCTCTCTCGCTCGGTTTTCGTTTTGTACCATAGAAGAAAATCGCACTGCAAATCTGCATAGCTCAAGTGGAAAACTACGGCCCGACACAATCTGCAAGTGTCGAGATTTTCCAAATGAACCGACTATGTATAAATAGACCACCCATCTTCCTCGGCCACCACTTTAGAAACGTACACATATCTTTCTCACTCTATCTGCAGCGCGTACGAGGCCACCGTTGTCTGATTTTCGTTTTTCAGCTTTCATTTTGTATCGCTTGCGTTTAACAACTTTTGTTTTAATTGTTCTTGAACAGCTCCTTTATTTATTCATTATACGAAATGGCATGTAATTATGACCAGAGAGTCTAATAGATGCAATGCTTTCTGTTTCATTGGATATTCCAATGGATTTCGACTGCAGCTTAATCGACTAGCTTACAATCATGAATGTTTGATGAAGTGGCATATTTTTCTGTTTTCAAAAGCCTAATCGCTTTTGGGGAAGGAGAGAGCGAAAGATGAAGAGAAAGCGAGAGAGCTGTTTCGGATCTCTTATGCCTAATGATTTTGAGTATCATTGTCTCGAAATATTTATTATTTCGATGTATCAAGATATAACGTCTTGATTAGATTTCGATTCGAATCTCTCTCCAGCCCGATGAGCAACTTGACGTTCTATCCAACCCCAGCAATAGCTTGAAGTTCACATCTATCTCCAGAAAACTCCCTTAAAATCATCTACCCCAGCAACAAATTTTGTAATTGATAACATACAAACTTTCATCAACAACAACGCTTTCTTCATAGCTTCCAAAACTAAAATGCTAATCCGATGAAGATTTCAAGCATTGTTTTGAGAATCGAGTATATGGCGTGTATCGGATGCCAAACACGAACTCTTCCATAATCCTTGCACGTATACTTATGATGAATATGGAAAAAGAACAGTATTAATTGGTGAAGTGAGCGTGAAAATTATGCAGATTAAGTCCGTAGCAGTATACAGCACATACGCATCCGCTCCAAATGCAAAATGACAAACGACAGAAGCCATTCATTATATTCATTCATTGATGGATATTTTTCGATGTACCGAAAAATTGTATATTCAACTCGAATGCTCGTGAAATCTATAATGAATTTTATTGCTGTGTTGTGGCAGTGAAATTCCTAAGCAATAGCAACATTTTGCATTTTCGTGCCACACAGAGCATCCAAAAATACCATCACTCCTCGAATGGAACAAATCCAGCAATGCGGATCTACGGCAAGACATGGATTATGGAAGCAAAAAAAAATATTACGAAACGTGCACATGATTCATTCGGAGAAAATCGAAACACGACCAAACGATGTCTTTGGAATAATAAATGATGCAAAACGATGATGGGAATGCAGATAGAAGGTGGATTCCCGGAAAAAGCAACTGCCGTTCCGAATCAATCGTTTACATCCAAAATCCATTTCTATTTTTTTCTTGCCTTTCTCTGTCGCTCTCTCTCTTACACTTACACTTACACCCTCTCTCACTCTTCGTGGACATCAACTGCGCCACACACATACAAGTGTATATAAAATTTTTCGAGCACAACCGTTTGCAAAATCATTCAATCTGCTGTTGGCTTTTGCACTGCAATTTTTTTCTGCTGATTCAGTCGGGAGAGTGAGAACAAAATATGGTGAAATGTTTTGCTACTTTGTCGGTTGATGCGATATAAAATTACAATAAAAAAAAATAAATCGCAAAAGATGAAATTCGCCGAAAGAAATGAGCGAGAGAATGTTACAGTTGTGGTGAAATCAAGAGTCCCAAATCGCAATACACCGATTCGCATACCGTAGACCCGCAGACAGCAACAGACAAGGCGTTGCAATACTCGAATTACAGTTCAACTATTTATTTTCAGTTTCATTTAATCGTTTAACGACAACAAATTTAATCCACCAAGGAGTTTAAGTTTTCCACGACGAAGTACTGTGTGAGAGAGACGGTGAGCGGACGTGAAAGCTGTGGCGGAATTATTTTCGCTATTATTTTCATCTCGGCGCGTACATCGAAACGGGTCGGAATGGTTGGCCACATTTGCTCGGTTTTCAAATGACTTTGCATTTTTCGCTAGTCGTGCATGTGTTTTTTCTTTTGTTTCGATTTCCGTGCTCGGTTCACTTCCAAATAATCCACGAAATAAAAATGTATACACAAGTTGTTTTGTGTGCGCAACATTTTCCATTATAATTTTTTGCGCAAAAAAATTTAATACTTTTTCATTATGGTACTCTTGAAATTATGTGCACTTTCTCCAAATCACATGATTCCCATTCCACATATGAGTGGATCGAGCATTACTTGATTCGAACAACTACTGCCTTTGTTCATTGCTCTGCTTGAAAGAGACTTTTATAAAGCTTTTATTTTTAAATTCACAATGAAAACATTTCGCAAAGTCGAAACGAAGAAAAAAGTCCATGGAAATAATTAGGAGCTTACGAGAGTGAGAACGAGCGGAAGAATAGAGAGAGAGAGGGGGAGAGGGAGAGGGAGAGTGGGAAAGACACAGAAAAAGTACATCGTTCGCATAAAAAGACAAATAAACTGAAATAATTCCGATTTCCCGCCAAGTCAAAGACTGTGTCAGATTCACAAAAGCGAAGCAAACAAACGGGCATTTTAAATTTCTCTTTTATCTTCGTTTTTTTTTCATATGCCTGCAAGTCAAAGCAGTCATAAAAAACGCATAATAATCAAGCACATCGAGGGCATTTAATTTTATTTCATTATTACCTCTTTATATTTGCAAAGCTCTTGTTCCTTGGAAATCTTTTCAATGCGAAATACGTGAGAGTCACTGATTGAAATATTAAATTTTTGATGTGCATGCAGTCTGTGCGCGAGTGAGCGAGCGATGGAAATAAATACTTGCACGTCTGCATTTCAATCATATTCACTTTTTTTCCTTCATATAATGAAAAAAAAAATCTCAATTTGAGTGTATTTACTTCAAGATATTTCCGTTACATGCAATTATGCGGAACGAAAAAGAATCCATCGTGGTGAATAGCTCACCGTGCTGAAGTGCAATTCGGTCTAGGTCAAGTGAGCAACCGGAATGTGTGCAATAAAAATGAATTGTTCATTGTTTTGAGACAGTGAAGCGAAAAACGGTGGCAACGTCAAAACTATGTTGTCACGACAAGTCGTTTGCCAGTTTGTTTGGCACACACCATTATCTCTCATCATACTCACTTTCCATCATTTTCCGTCACTCTTCGTATCTCAGTATGCGGTAGCAATAATGTGCAGTGCACAATTTCTTTTGATCCAACGTCATACTTTCTTCCTGCTTCTGCAGGATGAGTTGTTGTTGCGTTTCATTCTGTCCTTCCATTCTTGCTGTTCACAACAGATTCCGCTGCTCGATCTGAAACATATTCAAACCAATTCAAGTGAAGCTGATTGAAAACTGAAAATGAAAGGTTGAAATAGCTTGCGTTTCTGCAAAAGAACGCAATTTCACAAGGAAATTATATACATTTTCAGATAGACAATTGAATATAGCGACATAGCTCAAAAACATACAAACAATCGCTGTTGAAATAGCTATTCAATTTCTTCGTCTATTTATTCAAATGTTTATATACGCTGTGCGCTGAGATATGTAAAATATACTGTATGCCAATCGAATATTGCACGAGCATTCGAAATGCGCTTCTCTTTAGAAAGATGTTCTTTCGCTCTCTCTCTCTCTCTCTGCTGCCTCGCTACAAACCGAAGGAATTCCAAATAAAACAATAGCGATCAGCATGCGAATGGCTGCTCATTTCCCTTCTTTTGAAATGCAAAGCATTGTTCTGCCATGCAAAAGACTGGCGTACATTTTTCGGGCAATTTGGAAATTAATAATCATAAATTTATTTTAAATTGAATTCATTCACTATTTGCTGCTGCACTGTTTGCCTTGTTGTTCCACGCTTCGTTTCGTTCATAATGAAGTCCTATTGTCCAATGCTTTTTTTCTGTTTGTTTCACTCATTCTTTTGCAATACACTCTCATGATATCCAATGGCCTTTGACATAGTAAATAAAACTCGTCCATTCGCTATGTGTTATGCATTCAAATGGTTGTTCCGTTTGTTTTGTGTTTTTCCGTTAAACAAGTGCAGCAGCATTCACGTTGCCATGGTTGTAAATATTTGAAATGTTGCTTTAGTTCACCAGAGACCTCTTCCGCCAGTAGAAACTTTTAATTTCCAATTGAATTTTGATCCATCTACTCTGTCAGCGTCTGCCGTTGACATTTCGAAATTTTATTCGGATTTCACCAGAAATTTCTCCGAGTTGTGAAAACTTTGCACATTCTCTTTTCTAATGAACTTTGAGTGCAACATAAAACTTGAGCAAAAACTCAACAACTCAAGTATTTCCAGTTCATTTTGACCGATTTTCTGATTACTTCGAATGCGCCATCGTAAATTGGCTTTCTTGCAAATAGTTTGCGAATGAGATTAAAACTATGCGAAGAGAGTGTAGAAAAAGAATAATCGACGTAAATGGAATCGATCCAAAGGATTAATATGGCATCTCTTCCCGTTTCTATTCAATCTAGAGTACTGTATAGGAAAAAGTGCAATCGCATGCTTTCACCAAGTTTTCGTTTTCTGAAGAGTCAATGAATCGCAGCAAAGTTTAGAATGCATTTTCAATGTGTTTGTGTGTAGTATGAATCGAAGATTTTAATCCGATTTCGATTATAATTTGCCGGAGCTTAATGCTTGAAAATTTTCCGTTGAAATTTCCACACATTTTCCCATTTTCATATTCTTATGCGAACATGCATGATTTCAAAATCCGTTCGTTTCTCTGCGCATTTTTGTCATGTCACTTTAAATTTAAATGCAAATCAAGAATATGCACCTTAACACTGAACTCATTTTGCAATGCACACATCAACTTGAACTCTGCTGACCGTCTGCTACTGCTGGTGCATGCATCCAAACTCGATTTTCATATATCATTTAATGAATTCTACGTGGAACGGCTGTGTGGCAATGTGGGAATAGAACTGAAATCAGCATTTTATTATGATAAACAGAGCTGAAGAGAGAGATTTTAAATGAGAATATGGTATGGCATAAACACTGCATACATGTTTACATTTGTGTGTGTGTGTGTGTGCAATGTGTATGCGAGAGGTAGAATGAGTTGTGAATTCTCATTGGAATCATTCATGTTCCTAACAGATGCACTCGGCAAGATAAAATGCGTAAACATTCCGAGTTTCACCGGATGCCGGCGTTGATCTTGCTCAACCAAATCGTCGGTGCATTTTGCCGCATGGTTTTAGTGAAAACTTTCTCGAAATGCCACATTTCAATTTCGACTTGTCGAAACCAACAGGAATCCGAACCACTTTCCTAGTCGAAACAATATCTGTTTTTCACATTATGTCTACCAATATTTTGGCCTGTTTTTCTTCACTTTCGAGGGGGTGGTTTCATCGATAAGTACACCTTACCGCTGCTGAAGTCTATTTATCAAATTTTGAACAAACAGAATATTCAATCCCACTTCATTCCCATGAATCGATTTTCATTGTACTAGATATTGTATTGTTTGGCACGTTTCCTGTATTCTTTAACAAAATTGATCAATTTTCAATTTTGTATTCGCACACTCTTCCAGCTTGCTCTACGATTCGACATTTATTTTGCTCGTCGTATGTGAGTTGTGTGCTAATATCAAGTAAAAATAGACTCTAATATCGAACCGAAGTGAAAGACCGATATTGTTATCATTATTACTTGAGCATTTGTATGGATTCACGCATCACGTCATGGAAAATGAAAACGATTCGTTTCGCATTTAAGCACAAGCATTTTCTTTTCCAAACGAAACACTTAGGACTTATGCCGAAGATTCACATTTGCCTTGTTTGGGTTGCCGCGCGTTGCTCTGTTCCGTTCTTCAGACGTGGAAATCGATACGTGGATGCTGGCTTCATTGCCTCAAAACCTTAACTAACGAAACAAACGTATCCCTACAGCCGGTGTGTATGTGTGCTGGGTGGATGGTTACTAGTTTTTCGTACGTTGCGTACGTTGTACGTGCTGTGAGTATGTACGAGGCAAGGCATGTCTATAATTGTTTTCATCGGATTTTCTATGCTATTAAAAACTTATCATGATTGCGAAACGACTTGGCTCCGACGAACGAGAGAGAGAAAAGAAAATACACATTGAGAAAATCGTCGGTGGCATGTGCGTGCTTTAGCTTTTCTTCTTTAAGTTGCACTGTTTTTCCTTCTTCACTGCAATATAACGAACAGTTTTCCAGTACGTATAATTCTCGGTAATAGTTGTTTGTATCTTTAAAAAAGTCGAGCAGAAAAATCTCAGGATGAAAGTGCTTTAAACAAAAATAAGAAGAAAGAAGAAAAAAAAAACAATGCACCCAAAACTATTTTCGCCTTTTGCAGACTTTTTGTTTTTTTTTCACGTCGAGTTTCTCCAAGTTCCTGAAGAAATCGAGTGAAGGAACGAAAAATAAAATGAAAACAATTCTCTCCGGAGATGAACAATGCAACAGTGTTGCTTTTACAGCCAGAACCTGATGTGTACTTCTGCAGCAGCAGTATCAACAGTACCAACAGCAGCAACAGCAGCTCATTTTGTGCTGTGCATTTCCACCGATCTGTGCTGCTTCGCAACATAAAACTATTTTGTCTTGTATATTCACTTCGTTTTTGTAATAAATACTTGGTTGTTTATTTAAATTCCTTCCGTCCCAGTATCATATTCATTTCATTTCCCACACAGTTTTCGTGCTAATTTTGATGAAAGCAACTCGCTTAAGCAAACGGGTGAGAGAGAGAGAGAGCGAGCGAGTGAGAGAAAAAGCGAATGAGTGAAGAAGAAAGAGCAAGAGTGAAAGAGAAAAAAGGATGAGAATTCAATCATTTTGAAATTTCATCCATCTTCTATATCATTTTATGAAATTTTAATGCAACAAAAGTATTTAATCGCTTTTTGATTCGCCGACAACATTGAATTTTCATTCGAAATCCGCCAAAAAAATCAATATTCGTGTACCTTTTTGCAGTGTATCGAATAAACTGAAGCGAACTGAAATTTTACACTGAATAAATACTGAACAGTGACGACGACGGCGGCGGCGGCATAATTGAGTGAAATGAGAGTAACTACGATCGTCAGTGTCTAAGGCTCATGTAATAAAATAATAGGAAAATAATGAGATTTATAGTCGTTGTGCATAAATGAGCACACCACACCAAGGAAGAGATCGTTAGACAGTGTACAAAGTAGATAAACGAAGTTCGTTTAATTGAAATTTATGCCTTGACATTCAACCGGTATTCGGTATTTTGTGCTTGAACGACGTACAACAATGCATAGTACTGTACAATATATAAGTTACTGCATTAAGACAATGAAACGAAGCGGAAATTGATTCGGTGAAAGGCGTTTAAAATTAAAGTGAACTGAATTCTTAAAGTAGTGGCGTGTGCGATTAACGTCGACACGTGAATTTGGCGCTGAAGTGTCGAGGAACAACAGGGAAGTGCGCAAAAATTACCAATTAAACGTCGTAAATCACGACACAGAAATATTTTTAAGGTTTTGCAACTTCATCGAAGAAACCACCGTAAAAAGGATATGCATCGCAACACAATTTAACCCGGTGTTTAATATGATAATCCGATTAGAATATTAAGCATTAATCTACTCTTGTGTAATATGTTTTTGGGGAGATTACATTCAGCACATATTATTTATCCGACTTAGTGTTGAATAAGTTTGGATTTTTATTTTGGTGGAAACAGAAATCACTTTGACTGCGTATGTGTATCGGAAAACCATTGTGTTTGCCGTGAAGGGTGAAAGGAAAAAAAATCAACTATTGTATAAGTGAAATTTGCCGTGACTTTAATTCGAACTTGAACTGACTAGACGGAAAAGGAGATAAGAAACATTTTTCTTTATCAACGAAAAAGATGAAAACGGCAACGAAGAAGACGATAGTGAATTCAACTATTTAGAACATTATTCGAATTAGAAAGCACCGAAAAGAGCATTTCTGAGGGAAAAAATAACTGAAGATAGAAAAAAAGTGAATGACGAGGGCAGGCAAATGCATGCGATTCTTGTCAATGCGCTTAGTTTTTCAGCCAGATGATACCAAAGAGGGTGTTTAGCCCTTCGTTGACTATAAAATCGTTGACAAGTGAAAATCGTCTCAAGGGAAATCGTCGATTTGATTGTGAGTCTGAAGCATCGTCGGTGGCCAGTACTAGTAGTACGAGTAACAATAACAAAATCAAGCCATTGGATCCGATTAAAGAATTGGCTGCTGCATCGATTGAATACGATAAAAAAGTCGTCGTCATTGGAAAAGCAAACATTGAAAATGGAAAAGACATCAACGATAAAAACAATTCCACCAATAAGCTGCTCCATAATGATGTAAGTCATAGTGAAAAGGATAAGACACAAAATGATCAGCATCAACATCAGCATCAGCAGCAGCATCATCATCATCACAGTGGCAGCTCCAAAAAACCAAATAACACTGAACTCGTAAATAATCTAATTGGAACGCCGGAAACTGCTGTTGGAATCGGAAATTGCCATCCAAATATTCACAACATTGGCCAGGCTGGCGAGCATACGAGCAACGCACATGATGAAAACAACCATGATGCAGTAGATAAAATTGAGTTATCCGTAAAAAGATGTGATGTCGAAACAAAAATCAACAATGTGCCACTGCGTGATGTTATCCAGCGTAAAGTAACGAAATTGCCCAACCAATTATTGAACAGTAGCAAAGAATTATCGTCGAAATTGGTAACAGCTGCATCAACGACCACATCGAAAAATGTAAGTCGAACGAAACGTTTACTATTCCGTCGTAAAACAACAGCCATTACCAAAGATCAAATCGAAGTAGCAAAACATCTTGCCAGCAATGAACAATCACCAACAACTCAAAATAATGAAGCATTTAATGAGCGTACATTGAACGCGTCGCAGGTAACAGTGCCAACCATTGAGAGCAATTATAGTAAAGCAATTGATACGATTCAAGCGACGGAGGAGCTTGAACAGCGGCAGCTACAGCAGCAGCATCATCATCATCAAAGTTCCACTTCAACGAAGCAGAAACAGGCAAATAACATCACCATCGTTACCAATTTACAAAATTCAAAGCGAAAAAATGCCAAAACTGACAACAAGTACAAATTGGACGAAGTGAACAAAAATGCCGAAAACACTGTTCTAACAACAACATCATCAACGAATGATAACGTTTCGACTTCAAAACGATATTATTTTAAGCAATTGCCTGCAGCTAATAAAATAAAATCCGAGAATTTTGCATCGTTGCCGACGAACGAAACAGACACCGATTTAACGAATGAAATTCATGATAATTTCGTAGCCAGTTCGAATAATAAAGCGAAAATTGTAAACGAAAGGAAGCAACCACCGCCGTACATAGATCCACCGCCACCACAGTCTTCACCACGAAACGTAGCCGCATTTAACAAACAAACGAATCATACTTCATGCGAATTGCAGAAAATATTTAAAAATAACAAAGCTGAAAGCGATATTCTGAATGCTCAACTTGATATCATCGACGGTTGCATCAACGACGACGAACATGGAAATTATGCGGTGCCATATGTACAATCTCCGACGTCCGAATTAAACTTGAGCTCACCACCAACTGTTGTGAATTCAAGCGTTTACATTCGAATTGCAAATCAGCCCGAATCGAAAGTCAACAGCCATAGTCACAGCCACAGTCACAGCCAATACACAGGTGGTGTAAAAAAGCCAACAAACATAACTAAGTCACAAAGCCCGAATAATCGAGCATTTTTATCACGGCAACAACAAAAGCGATTGCCTGTGCAAACTCAATGCAAAGACAATAAAGATTCATCGCATGATAAATCGGCCATCGAAACTGAGATTTTATTGCTAGACCCGATTGGTCAAAGTTTTAGCTCGGGCGGCATTGGAAGCAGCAGTAACAGTAATAGCATCAGCACCAGCACCAGCAGCAGCGATAGTAGCAACGAAAACGATAAAACCACCCATATAAACGTAGTCGAAACAAATCAACGCACCAAAATGGATCCAAGTAATATAATAAACCTAACGTCACCATGCGATATGCTCACCAAGCCCGAGTTTTCATCAAGTCATTTGCAAAATATACCGGTACGACCACGGAAAGGTGTACCACATTTAGAAAACTATTGTCTATTCGATCCGAGCAAAGATTTTGTCAACGAAAAAGAACTGAAAAAGAAGTACGGATTGGTGAGTGGCGATTGTATGCCATTTCCAATCAAAATACTCGATAAACGAACCAATGAAGAGGAGCTCATTAAGGAAACGATTTACGAGGATCATGACTTTGTTTACGATACACTCGAAGATGTGGAAGAAGAAGATGAAGAAGAAATGGACGAAAACCAAACGTCATATCCAAACTATTTTACCATCGACCCTGATTACATTGAAGAGAATAAAATGGAATCGATGTTTGCGAATGCAAATCATTTGCATCCGATTGTCGAATCCGAAACCGAAGACATTTATAGCGATACCAATGCAAATGTTAACAAAACAACGATTTATGAAAACCAACAAGTGACGGTGCAAGAACCTAAACCAGATGTTCCTCTCAAAAAATCGCCACAAATCGAAAAAATCGTGCGTCAATCGTCACAGCCGGTGATATCGACATTTACCGCAAAGAAAATGATATCATCGGGCGGTGTTGGTGTAGGAGGGAAACCACCTCCTGTCAAAAATGACTCATCAACGTTGTCGAAATATCCAAATGCCAAGGTTTCGTCGAAAATTCGCACAAAATTAAGCCCACCAAACGACCTACCGTTACGCACAACCAATCAAATTGCCATGAAAGTGACGACGACGACAATAGCAACGAAAAAACGCAACAGTATTACAATGAAACACAGTGTATCTACGCCACAATTAAGCCTGAAGGATTTACTTGAAGAAAATGCCGCATTACCTGTGGTCGAAATTGAAATAAAAAACACAGTGGCACCGAATAAAAATGTAATGGCCACGTCCGTTGGGAATCGGGCGAGCCAATATAAATTTACACGTCGGCCAGCCTCACAGCACAGTGATGCTGACAGTGGTTTTCTTAGCCCAGCCACACCAACATCCGATGCATTCAATCACGCAACAGCATTTGCTTTTCCACAATTTGACACAATTCAGGGATACATTGATGTAAGTAACAAATTACCACTGTCTGTTCTTTTATTTTTTTGCTTCCCAATTTCGCCTCTCAACGTCACCACGTTAAACTGACGTGAAATGAGCATTTAGTTATTTTGGAATAGGCAATGACAATGTGCCACTCCGTCGTTTGTTGTTGTTTTCATTATAACAAACAAAGAGACGATAATTTATGGTTTCATACGCTTTTTATGTTATTTGTTATTTTAACCGAATGTGGTGTTAAAGCGAAGAATAAGGGGAGGAGGACGAAACGACCGAACCAAAAAAAAAATTGTACCAGGGGGACACAAAGAGCAATAATAATAAAAACAAAAATTTAATAGTTTGTGAAGAGAAGCATAGATTCGGAACTATGAAAACGAAAATACAAATAAATAAATGCTGCGCGAATTTTCGGTTGTCGTCGTTGTCGTAGTCATAGCGTATACAGCAGTCAAATCTAATTAAAATATTTCGTTTCGGGGTAGCTGCCGTTTCCACTTACCCTTCACTATTTTCCACGACTTTAATATATTCGACAATAACCAATAATGACGGTGTGTATGTATGTTTTTGTGTGCAATGTATACACAACTAACGCCCGCTCATTCACTCTCTCGTGTGTGTGTGTGTGTGTGTGCGCGAGCGAGCAGTATCACTGCAACGAATTATGTATGTGTGTGTGTGTGTGTGTGTCTATGCGTCAGAATGATATAGCGAGAGCCTCTAGCTGTACAGGGAGGCAGAGAGAAAGAGAGAGAGAGAGAGAGAGAGAGAGAGCGTCAGACAACCATCGTGCAAAGACGAAATCGACATAAATACGTATGTTGAACGAGCGAAATAAATAAAGGGCGAGAGTTGGGTGCTCGTGGAATGCAAACAATTGCATTTATTTTATGCGTTGTTCACAGTTTCGTCGACAACGAAAACATTCACACCACACTCTCGCTCGTTCTCATTCTCAACAACACTCACTCTTCCTTTCCCGCTCGTTTTGTCATACTGCAAAGTGTCGATATGCCAACACATTTTGTTGTTCTTTTCATTGTTTTCGCACGGCGTTTGCAAAATTTTCCAGACAATCCACACAAAAAAAACAACACTCATTTCACATCCCGAAAAAATAATTGATGCACAACGAAACAGCGAAAATGAAAATGAGAATATAAATAAACAGAAAAATTCGCACAGAAAAAATTGTTCCGTGCATATTTTATATCACAACCTGCAGCTAATTTTAGCATTCTCATTTCGTCGCATAATCACACCAAAATCATGAACTCGCTCTCGCTCTTCGTTTGGTTTTTGTCGTAAAAACAGACATTTTTCGTGAATATTCTACGTGATTTTTGCATTGTATTCAGCCAGGAAGTATAAGCCATTATTTTGATGTCAGTTGTATTCAAATTATTCGTTTCATTTCCAAGGAACATATTAAAAATGCCTTGTGTTTAACAAATAAAAAATTGTGAACGCAGAAAGGCGTCGTTTTAACATGATTTTAACAAACAAAAAAAAAAGATTCCAAGAACGTGAACTTCAAACGGTTAAAGAGAACCACGATGAGAGAACAAGTTGCAGCTGAAAAAAATTGCTGATAAATTCGGATAGAATTTCCGTTGGGCCAATTTTGAGTTCATGTTTTTTTGTGCTATTGTCATGTCTATTGTGTTCCGGCGACGTGTTTGGGCGTTATTATGACTTTCAGATTTTCGTCGTAAAAATGCAAGACGAAAAGTAGTTTCATCTGTTTTTTTACAACTTTTTTTTATGGTGGCTCGTAAAAATTCGCGTGGAGAAAGTTTGTGTGTGTGTGTGTACCGCACCCTCTAAAACTGAAACGAGCAACATCTTCCAATGTATTGTTTTTGGTGTATATACTATTTAATTTGGTGCAACGTCTGTTAATATGAAAAATACTTTTTGAACAACAAAAGAGCAACAAAAAAAAACACATTTTTATCGTCGCGTTATCTATTGTATTTACTTTTGTGCAGGCACGTCTCATTCGCTGTCGTTCGTCTGTGCCGACTGCCGAATCGTTGCGTACGGTTTATGTGTGTATTTATCATTGAATGTGTGTGTGAGTGTGTAAGTGTCAAAATGTATTTTTCGCATGTTATAAAAGTTGTCCGTAATGAAGAGCGTCTCCCGTTCTTTCTCTCGATATTAATTAGATTTCCGATGTACGACGATAATATTCATTTGGAAGTTGTGCCCGTCATAAAGTGTTACAATCAGGAAGTTTGCATCGAACAAGTTGTCGTCGTCGTCGTTGTCGGATGCAACATATCGGTTTGTTTGCTCTCTCTGTGTGTCTCATTCACACAAAGCGATAATGTTCAGGATACGAACAGGATATTTGCAACATTGTAATGATGCTATTCATGAGCCAAGGACAACTTATTTCCATTGTGAGAAACGAGTTAAAATTTTGTAAAATGATTATGACGACGTCGAAACTATTTTCACTCTCTTTTTTCCTCTGTATCTCTCTCTACCCTCTCTCTCTCTCTCTCTCTCTCTCTCTCTCTCTCTCGATCAAGCGTGATTATAATAAATTTTTCGTCTTCAATTTCTAATTAAATTGGAGGAGTGAAACAAGTTACAGGAATTCCGTTTGACGTTGGCTATGTTGTATGCGCAGGCACACAGCACGACTTCTCGACGTAATGCCATTCAACGGTGAAAAAAAGCGAATCCCATTAAATTGTACACTGTGGTGTGCACTGCACGTGCCATTAATGTGAAAATAAGAATAATATATCCGAACGTTTGCTCGAAAACTGAAATGGAACTCTTTATTTGGTCGGGGTTTGGATGCAGGCAGGTTCGTTTTTATTTCACTTAAATACGGTTAGTTTGATTCCTCCTTAATACCGATTCCACATTCCATATTGTGAATTAAAAGTCAACCGAGTGTGATTAAAGCGGTGTTTGAGTGAAGAGCATTTGGGTAACATAGAAGTAAAGTGCAATGTCAAATTATTATTATTATTGGCAGAAAACCCCTGCGTTTTTCGTCTTTTTCTCCTCTGTACATACACTAAACGGTTCAATTTATCGAAGTGGAGAGTCAAAACGCACACACCACACACTACATACATTCAAACGTCCATTTTGTTTATGCACTTTGATACAAATTTTTTTTCTTCCTCGATTTCTTTTCGAACACAAATGGTACGCTCATATGCGCTCAGATGCCATTAAATCTATAATACCATGTAATGCTACAAACAGACAGTTTTCGTTCAAAGCGTGACCAAATTGAATTTACTCGAAAACATATTGACAAAAACGCAACCGACAATATGCGCGGCGCGCATTCCATTTGTGTATAAAATGTATGACAGTTTGGCATGTATCGATAAATATCGTTTGTGTGTTTGAATGTAAGGGCTGGGCGAACATGAATTTGATGGCAACAAACGAGATGTAAGCAACGTTTGCCATGAACGCAGTACTTTGTGAAGCACTCCATTTAATCGGCAATGGTAATTTTCCGGTAGTGAAGCATAAAATCAATTTTGTTAATGAAATTAACAATTCCAATGACAGCCTGAATTTTGTCCGGCTCGTTCAACAAATTGCGAAAAACTAACCGACACTTTTAAGAAAATCAGCACCAAAATTAAAATCTTCCAAAAGTTTTTGTCCAACAAATAAATTCTCCAGACGACAAATATGCATGTGTCTTGAGTGCCTAGAGGCAATTTCATTAGGAAACCGAATGATAAATTTTAATAGCATATGTGTGTATGTGGACGTGTCGATATTGTGTCCCTTTTCTCCAAATGGCATAGATAAAATTATATGTACACGTTGTCGCCATTTTCCCTTTTTGAAAACCTCAAAAGAGAAATTGGATGAAATTCACCAAATGAAGGCCTCAAATAAAAAAAAAACAGAGAGAGAGAACAAGGTGCCTTTTGCAAAGAGTGAAACCATGTTCCAAATCGACACATTGACGCCGCGCTCTATATGTTCGGTTGGTAAACAGAGATAACAGGCTCATCCCGACTAACAATTAGTAAATGAATGTGTATAGCGAGTGCATGGCTGTGTGTTTTGTTGCGATGGCATCATAGTAAAAGGCAGCTTCAGTTCAAATGGATAATGATTATTCTGTGTGAAAGGTTCAAATGAGATGATGTGTTTCGTGGTGATGGTGACGGTGGCAGTGGAGGATACATCTTGGAAATGCCAACCGATTCATTTCCAAAAATTTCCGCTTGCGACATCAAACACACAAAGAGTCACCTTTAAGGCTCCGTGTAATTATTGTAATCACTTTGCAAATGTGAATTTTTCAGGACGATTGCGTACGTTATATTCCGTCTGGCAAATGCTAGTGCATGAGTATGTGTGTTGGGTTTTTACGATTACGCTTGACGATGTTCAATGTACCCATTCACATGGTTGAAACAAATATACACGTACATCCATTATTTAATGCCATCATTGAAGAAGATATCAGTTGTGTGCTGTCTAGCTGTCGTTGTTGTTCACCTGAAACACACACAAACACCGCTGCCACCCGTGAAATGAATTCATCTTAACACGTTCGGCGGCTTTTATCCTAATCTACTCACATAAAGAATAATTGAAAGCAGGTGTAGAAGCTCATTTCAACTCTGGATGCTAATGATAAACACTAAAAATTGCCACTGCCAAAAAATAACACAACGGTATGATTGTAATTCCAAACGTGGTGTAGGGCTCACATCAAACATGACTAGTATTACTTTATTTTAAGAAGATTATCCAACATTTTGGAATTAAAGCCGAACGAATGGAGCGGAAAAAGGTGTCTTAATTCACAATGCTAATTAAATAAAATGCGTTAGCATTACAACCGCTTTACTTACATTCCACCAGTTTTATTATCGCATGGATCTGTGCTTCCGCCTGTGATAATAACATTCCGCTACTACCTTTTGATTAATCCGGAAAAAAATTTTTAATACCCAAATTGAGAGAAAATTGGTTTTGAACGAAATTGGTTTTTT